GAACGTCTGAAGGTAAGACAGGTTTCAAAATAGTTGGGAAATGATCACTTTCACAGAGGTCTTCGTTGACGGACCATTCAAATTCGTTTAATAGATCAGAATCTGTAACTGACAAATCAAGAGCAGAGTAGGAACCTGTACCGGGATGTAGATATGTGTTCGAACCATCATTATGGATACATAAGTTGTTGTTTGAAATGAAGTCTTCTAAAAGTTTACCCTTGTTATTTGTCTGAACACTATCCCAAAGTGGATTGTGCCCATTGAAATCGCCCATAATAATACAGGGCTTGGGAAGTTGATCATAGAGAGCTTGAAGTTCAGACAGTCGAAGAGAAAAAGATGGTGGAATATAGAGCGAGCACAAAGTAAAAACTATGTGCAAAGTTACACGGACTGCAACAGCTTGAAGGGGAGTAGTGAGATGAACGGGTCTGTGGATGACACTGTGTTTCATTAATATTGAAGAACCTCCAGCGGCTTTAGCTCCTGATGGGAAAAGACATTGTAGGAGGTATAACTTCTTATATCGAATTTGTCAGTGTCTTTATAGTATGTTTCCTGTAAACATATCGCTGATGGTTTGAAATCTTGAATTAAGAGCTGTAAATCATTATAATTATTCCTAAGTCCTCTACAGTTCCATTGTATTAAATTCGATGATTGAGTCATGGTGGCTCAATTGGTGATCTCTCACGTGAATGTGAGGAAGGAGAACTCCTACCACAACATTGAGACGATGGAGTAATCTCCATGTCCAGAGCATCGAAGGAGTTATGGAGATTTATCTCTGACGAAATTTGAGGATTGGGCATTTGACTTCTGTTTAACTTTTTCTTTTCTTTTTTCTTTAAGTTTTGGTCAGGTTTTTGTGGAGACTGAGTTGGAGGCTGAGATTGAGGCTGAGACTGAGGCTGAGACTGAGGCTGAGTCTGAGCCTGCGAGGTCAGAGGTGATGCTTCTGAATGATTCTCAGAAGTATTTTCTCGAAGGACAGATGACGTTTTGACTGGTTGATCAGATCTGACCCATGTCAATTCTGTTTGACACAGAACAGATGAAGTTTGAACAGGACGGACGAGTGCAGCAGAGTAATTCATGTTTGTAGGCGTTGTGGACTGACTGGTAACAAGTTGTTTAGCTTCTGCAAATGACATGTTTTTTCGCACTTGATTTTCATTATTCTGGTGTCTGTTTGCCAAATAGGGCAGGATTTAGAAGAGGCCATATATGTTGGCCTTCACATTTGGAACATTTAAGATTTTCATGACAATTCATGCTCTCATGGTTGGCACCACAACGCTGACAAACCACGGGGCGAGTACAGGTTTTTGAACCATGTCCAAACTTTTGGCATCTATAGCACCGGAGTGGATTTGGGACATACACATCCACCCCGATGTTAACATAACCAGCTTTAATTGATTTTGGAATTGACGCACGGGCAAAAGTGAATAGATATGTGTTTGTTGGATTTGTAATCTTTACGTGTAAAACGTTTAACTGATTGAACACCTTGAGTCTGTAGTTCACTAACGATTTCCTCCCCTGACATATCCGCCAAGGAACGCGTCCAGTCACGGACAATGCCACGAGAAGAGTTCAGTGTTCTGTGCTCAGAAACAATAACGTAGATATTTGCAAATTGATTGAGGGATAAGAGATTGAGCGATTGTTGTTTCCGAGCATTTTCAACCAGAAGTGATCCAGTACGGAGTCGGGTGACATTTTTTACCTCTCCGCAATACCCTTGTATAGCTTTAGAGAAAGCAAAGGGATTTAACTTAATGGGAAGGTGATTTGTAGCTTCGATTACAAGGAATCGAGCCCAAGAATCAAGATTTGTGTCAGCCTCATCAGATGAACTTGTGTCCAAATGTCTTCTTTTCGAACCAGAGTGATTGTGAGCCATGATGAAAGAAATTTTTTCTGCACCAGTGCTCCCCACCCACCATGGAGTGTCAAAAAGACGATGTTGTAATGCACCGGATCTCAAAATGCAAACACCAGGGATACATGGGTGGTATACTCCAGTAAATACGACATGAAGAGCTATATTTGTCCACCAATTATAATGTCAGACCGGTTCGGCCTTTGACAGAAAATTGGAGACATACAGAAATCAGAGGTCGACATCACCAGATTGGCCCATGAGCCACCGCCTTCTGGCATAGGACTCTAGGCAAATTGTTACATAAATAATTTGAGAATGCGAACATGTTATACATGGCCAAGTCTAATTATTACAGTTATCAAAATCACGTGTGTGCATACACAATTTTATGCACAGGGCTTTGCGTGATCAGCCGATTGATAGAATCGGGCCCATTCTACCACCCGTCTAGGTGAAGTGAGGGGCGAAGTGGTGTGTTGAGCAGATGGAACACCGGTTCCTGGCTCCAGTGCCCTCAACCACCAGACTCCCTTCCTCCACCGACACAGGGGCGCAACCCACGGCAAACAGGTTGCCCAATTCGGTCGCCTTTTACGACCAGCAATGGGGGAAGAGCTATTTGCGCTACCCAGCACTCATCACGAGGAGGTTGCTCTTCACGAGTGCCCAGCAATTAACAGAGACCAGGGTATCTACCTACCCAGTGTGGACTCCACTATGCTATAACCACATCATCTACCACAATGGACATCTTGATCACCTTATTCCTTGTTACCACTACACCTCCAGCGTACTTAATTAATCCTCTCCTGTTAATCTCATTGGCTTCGTCATTATATGCTATCTTAATCCTATCCCGTCGGCTTCGTCATTATATTGGTATCTTTGTACATTGATCCTATTCCATCGGTTGTGTCCTTATGTTGTTATCATTGTACATTCATCCCACCATGATATACATATATAGTACTCTATGCACTCACTAAGCATATTTTCTGCACAGACCATGCCCTAGCCTGTGGTCGGTTAAAACAAGAATTGCAGTTAGATCCGCAATCTGTCGTAAATCTCCTGAAGCCAAGAGATGCAATAGCGAATGCCAAACGAACTCTATTTCTGAGAGATGAAGAGCTACTCGAACGCATAAACAGAGCAGCCAAACATAATTAAGAAATCATATCAATACAAAAACAAATTCAATGAAAACTAAAACTCGCATTAGATATGTGTACCCTTCTTCCAAAGACGATGTGACGTTAAACTTTAACTCACTCACTCACTCTTCCAAAGAGGGACAGGTCAGCCGAAATTGCTAAGACAGTATGCGACTTCTTCAACCCCTAAAGCAAACAACAACTTACTAAGCAACCACCTGATGAAGGAACAAGAAGTAGCTCTGAAACGTTGTATAAAGAATATAAGAAGTTGCTTTCCATAATAAAATGTCATATATTCGAATACAAGTTCTTGATTTAGACTGGGCGTCAAACTTCCAATCACTGGAAATGTTCCCAAGGAGGATGCCCGACCACCATTAACACCTGAGATGACTTTGTCAGGAAGCAAAATAATATGTCACTGAGCAGTGGGTCATCGCAAACAAGTCACCTCAAGGGCTGGTATCCAAATCTGTACAAATTCATTGAGATACTGCAGGTTCAGGAGGGTGATGCTGCTATCACAAGAGTTAGTATGACGCCACACGAGATAATTCCTCCAGGAGAGAGAAGAACATCTTTCCGCCAACCAAGCGCCAATTGACGATTATTACAATGACGTTTTACTTTTAGTTGGACTGTGAAAAATGTAAATTTGAGATGTGAAGGAACAACGTATCGACATGTATTGTGTACTTTTGTGTCACAAATCGTTATCAATGCGTAATAAGCATCCACCGGTCCCGTGCAGTGTTTGATATGATGCCCCAGCTATAGGGATTATCACTTGGCCAGCTTCTGGACAAGCAAGATGTCACCGTTCATGGTACCCAATAGGATTCTATTAATAAAATGCAAGTTACAGATTGTTAATTGATATTTTAATTATTCACAATATCAAGATCAGATGAGACGTTGCACACATTAAACAATGTATACAGTGTTGTTATTTGTGTAGGATTTACATAAATATGAGAAATAGTGTATCTATTGTTTTTTATTGTGTACCGTGACACATAAGCCCATGTCTGGCTGGACGCACTTCATACACCTTTTGTCTAATGTGGATCAATTTTATATTGTACAAGTTGTGCGTGTGATACTTTGATACACAGTTTACTATAACTACTACTACTACTACTACTACTACTACTACTACTACTACTACTAATACTAATACTCTATAGTTGCTAAGAATCACACATCAGCCAATGAAAAGCTTTGTCGCGCACCGCTAAATTTAGGCCACGCCTACCGAAGAATTTTGCTTTGAACGTCGATTACGGAGCGTGTGATTTCAGCACTTTCGCTTGACCATTTATATACTTTCTACTGATGGAATGATTATCTCTCCTCGGCAATTGACTTAATACATATACAAGGATAATTGATATTCCCAAAAAATCGCAATTTTTTTTTAATTCTTTACTTTGCTTTAAGAAACATGGAAAGTAACACCTCACTTGCCAAAGGTGTAAACTAAATATATTCCTCAACCAGAAGCAGCAACGTGGCGGGACATACGGGTTTGGGACGTCTGTCCGTCGTTATCATTTTATCTGCTTCGTAAATATCATACCATGTAATTTAATTGCCAAGGTTCACATGAATAAAATAAGAAAGAAATATTTGCCAAGCCAACGCTACCTTTTCGTTATTTGTCAAAACCACGTCATTGGGTTTTCAGTAATTGAAATACATCACGGCTTGTCAACTTAAGGTACAAGAAAGGGCCAAAATGAGGTAGGTATAACTGTATACTGTATACTGTTGACAGACCAACGATCATAATCTTAGCAAGATGGGATTAAAACCATCAGGGCGTGGCTGCAGGGCAAACTTGCACGGCGTATTGTGGCGCCTAAGACCATTCCACGAACTGTGCCCTTCAAAACAAGGATTAAACTGAAGTTGTGAGTGAATTGAAGTAGTGAGAAGTGTCAACATACCCAGCTTGGTGGAGGCCTTCCCGAGGTGGAAAAGCCCCAAGACGATGGGCAGCTGCCAAATCCTAAAAAGAAATATATGAGTTAAAATTCGGAAATTGTTTATTTCTTTGCACGGTAATTCTGTAGACTAGAAGACGCCAGCAGAACATCTACAGCATTGACATATGAAAAAACGTTGTCCCCGAAGGGTTTCAATCAAAACTATGGGGTATAATATCTCTAACTAAACGACAAATCATTGATGCTGTATCGCAACTTTTTAACTGTATGAGACAAACGTCATTTGAGACCCTACTTCCAGTATGTTCTTGATCGTACATAAGATTAGCATGCACACCCACGGAGAGATGACAACAGGTCATACTTTATCTCCCTCATTGTGGAATCTGACGCAAAATAGGTCCATATAATTACCACGAACAGCCGACGAAAATGAGCACACTTAACATAGCCGCCACTAAGTCATGATGTTATAACGCTACGTTTAAACATTGGTCTTTGACCAGGCAAAATTGATTTCTGAAAATAGATCTTTTTGCGTTTTGAATAATGAGACAACTTTAAATAGCCTTGACTTAATAACGAAATGATTGGGAGAGTACATAAAGATTCAAGGCCATCACAGTTGAGCGAGATCGCGAGAATGCGAGTATTTGGCCAAATATCGGGAGAACGCGAACCTTTGGACAAATATCGCGTTCTTGCGATCTCACCTTTTCGGACTTTTGAAATTCTAAGCTTGTGTCGAAAGATCGAGACCAAGAGAACGCGAGGATGTCTCATACAGTATTCCATAGAAAACATACAACATGTTTATTTCCGTGTTACCACACAATAACGTAATCAACGTAAAGTACATCACGAGAAGAAGCCAGCAAACACCGGATATATAGAAATCAGATGTGACAAATAACCTCATATGACGAACCTAAACTTAATGCTGCTATGGTAGTTATGATAACTGTAAATGTGAATGACAAATTTCCAAAGTAACAAACGTAAGTGAAATGAAACGATTCTTGGCGAAGACGTACAAGAGTATTCGATGTCAACTTACCTCATGATTAACAGGCGACCCGACGATGCCCGCTAGTAAATGTTGCGCAGTTTATATGTACATGCATTTCAATTAATCGTTACAGTCCCCAACTGTGACAGGTGAAGGACTCCGATTTTACAAGGACAGAATTAACATGTTTTGTATTGAGTTAGTTAACGTCAGAGAGACATCGATCAGATTGTAATAGGAAATTTGAAAAATTTCAAAAGTTTGAATGACAAGCTTCAACAGATTCAAATTTGAACGGAACGACAACTTATAATGGTCGTTCTGTTACCTGTCAATGTGTAAAATTGCCGCATTGTAAAATATCCTTATATATCGACATTTTGATAACCATAACTACATGTTTATCAACGCCAAGGTTCATTGATGTTACTACTAGTTATGCATCACTGACTTCACTCTGTTGTAATCAGCCAACAAATAACTTGAAAATGGAATCCATTCAGTGGTTAAGTGATCGCCATTCAGACAATATATTGCATTACTGTTTTTATTTAACGCAAAGAAAATAATATGCTGATTTCTATATACACGCTTGAAGTATATCCAAGGTAACAGTCACATGTTGCGAAATGCGTAGGTTACTGCGCAAAAAGGTTCCTATAAAAAATATCTTTCACAGAATTACAAAAGTACTTAAAAAAGTGAAATAATTAATGTTCACAACAGCTGTCAACAGGAAATGTGAACTGAGAAATATTAGGCAACATGACGCATCATAATATAAAGACTTCAATCTCGTAACTTACCCAAGTACACGTGTCAATCTTTGAACGAGAGAAAACATTGTGATTGTATGACATAGCTCACCTTTTTGCGAACACCTGATCGCTATTTCATAGTGATTCACCAACACATGCTCGTGATATTGTCGGAATCGTACAGTCGACTCTGCTTTTAGACGAGATTTCTTATGAATATGGAAAGGGGTTTGTGGCTTTTATAAATATGACATGCTTAACAATGGATTAAGCCCCAAGCTAGTTGACAGTCTAGGCATTTATGTATGTTAATGAAACCATTCAAATGTGATTTCACATTTCACTTTATGATCAGTTTACAAGAACAAACAAATAGAAACATATTTTATTACACATACTCCAAGTAAAAGTTTATAACATTTCCAAAACCAAGTTCAAAACTTTCCCTTCTATGCACGGGCCTCATCGAGTGTGCAATCAATGACGAAGTGCCCTGCAGTTAACGGGTTCGAATCCCAGGATCGAGAAAAGTCAAACCATGGATTGCTAAAAGAAGTGAGTAAGTGAGTTATAATTGTAAGTCAAATCGGCAATATTTCAGCCATACCGTGACTATCATTAGTTAAGCATAATCAATGCAATTGGACTTATATAAAAACCTGCCAACGAAGGACAGTAAAATTACTACAGTAGACTTATCACAGAAAAAGTTATAAAACTAGTCCGGAAGGCATTAAAAGGAAACACTATATATAACGATATAAGATAAAAACGGGCTACAGATCGCCAGCAATTGAAGGTAGATCACCATACTAGGGACCAGTGGGACTTACAGTACTTTTGCTTCCTGCATGGGCCCCCAGCAGGATTTACATCATCCCTACAAGTGTTGGCGATTATTGGCAGAGTTAGCCTAACACATTAAAATGACACATATTCTACGATTAAAAACGTGGTAGTTCTAAATTTACTTTGAAAGATGTGGAACTTACGTATCCTCTCAGGGGGACAATAATTTTACAGTACCTTAACCTCCTTCGAGGATACAGCAGATAACAATCGCAGTTGTCAATTTAATCTACCAAATTCAAAACATTGTGTTTATACAAAACATATCTATTAACATTTTCCAAACAATTCAATATCCTTTAAAAAGCTATTATTAAACGAGAATTCATACTGGTAAAAAGATCCTATAAAGAAGATGATTTGAAATATTGTTCCCTTGTGATGGCAAAATCAATACAGTCAAGCAGGACATGCCTGACCGTAATTCTTTCATCACAAGGGACACAAAATAGAGGATCCTCACCATTCAATAAATATTCATGAGTATATCTACTATGGCCAATACGACATCGTCGCATAATGACCTCTTCAAATCTGGACTGACAACCCAAGTAGGTGTAACCGATATTTGGTTTAATTTCATGTAATTTATTGATTCCTGCTTGGGTGTCCCACTTCTTTTGCATCAGATCACGAATATAAGATCTGATTACAGGTTTATAATCAGTGTATGGGATAAGAAGTGGGCTAAAAGAAGAAAACGGTTTTTTTTATATTTCGCGGAGGAATAAACCCAGGAAAGGCAATGGGCATGGTGGAACCACCAACACATAGAAGACACAATAGAATACGTCGGCTGCGACGTCAATGGTGTCGAAGTGACAGAGTATGGCCACAACTGCGACGGACACAAGTTTGATTTAGTATACGTAACGAGTCACGTTTTATGCTTTGGATGGGAGACGTCCTTTTGCCCCAAACTGCTTACAGATTTGGCGGCGGTAATGTGATGATGTGGACAGCCATCTTCTACACCAGTAGAACAGCCTTGGTGCAAGTTCAAGGGAATTTAACGGCACACGTTACATGGATGAGATCTTATGGCCCATTATGCAAAAAGCGAACGTCATTTTCCAACAAGACAACGTCCGACCTTACATGGCAAGACTGGCAATATCCAGGTCCTGCCATGGCCCTCCAGGTCTCCAGTGTTTAACCCTATCGAACATTTATATATTGGAAGTACCAGATCAACGACTGCGAGCACATCAGCATAAACAGACAGTCGGCATAAGCACTGCAGGAAGAGTGGGTGAACATTGCCCAGGCCACAATTCGGGATCTGGTCTAATGTGATGCAATATATTGAGCACAGATGACCTTAACCTTGAGAATCTACCGTTCCACGTGTGCCAAATTTAAATGATATATGAACTAGAAATCTAAAATCACTTTTGCGTTTCTTTCCACGTGTACAGTAGAAACAAACAGGCATTCCTGTTCTTCTTTGAAGTGAAATTGAATTTGCGAGCGTATGCACTTGAATATGTGCGAAAGTGTGACTTGCTAAACGTAAGATGTAGATGTAAATATAGATAGAACAAAGAAATATTTCACGTGCAATACTTTTTCTACCGAATTCGGCCAGTAACGATGCTGTTCTAGGGGAATATGGACGAGTAACGTGTGACAGATACATTTTCTCTCTCTCTCTCTCTCTCTCTCTCTCTCTCTCTCTCTTCTTCGAGGACTATGTATCAAGGCTTATTCATGAGATTTCAAGTATCCCTTAGGTAAATAGGTAGGATTGGTTTTAAGTTTTGTACCTACAGTGTTTTTTTCCTTATTCGCAAATCTTTTAATTTTAGAAAGATTTTTGTTTTTGCATAGGTGTACCCTTTTTTCCGAACCAGGGCTTGTTGCACGGTTTGTCCAGTTTGCTACCTCTCAAGCGTGTGTTGCTATCTTTAACTCCGAAAGGAGAGCATGCAGAGTCCAAAAGGACGTGGTTTGCCACAATATAGTGAGTGAGTTGCGTTTAACGCCGCTTTTAACAGCATTCCAGTTATATCATGGCGTGTCAGCCTAGCTAATGCGGGAGGAAAGCCCAAAGTGATGCAGGTCTCAGACGTTTACTACTTCGGTGAAACCCACGAGCACGGGTATGGTGCTGACAAACCTAGAACCATAAACTGTGCGAACCGGGATTCGAACCCACAACCATCGGTTTCTGGCGTGCACAAGGAACACAACACTGCGAAGCGAATCGCGGCGCCTTAGACGACTGGGACAACCGTTCCCCCGCTACAATACAGATCGAGGCGGATGGAGTTCCCTGATCCAGCTAAGTTGTTTCTGAAAACCTGATTGTATTTCAACTGGTCTTAAATCAGTGGCATGGTGGAATACATCTACATTACCGGACATACGTTGCGAGAATTGGATAATCAATTTCATGTTGAGAACAAGAGGTATCATCGCATGTATCATCACTTTCATCGGAGTTGAGGCTGGGATTTTGTATCGAGATTAGATATTTATTTCAGCTGCAGCTACAAAATCAGGTATTTTTACTATTTAAAACTATGAGCGTGAATTATTTTAAAGAAATATACCAATCAGTGGCAGGCAAATATTTCCCCGCCTGGAGCAAAAGTATTTATATAAGACAATTTGTTTCGATAAAATCCCAGCAACACAACGATTGTGTAGTGTACTGAGTCGGGCTCTTTTGATTATATAACTTATAGAAATCAATGCATATGTTACATATATGATGTTGCTGACACGCGACCACACGTCCCAGCCGTTTTCTAACAAGATACGAAGGACTATTGTGGTGATTTTTTATTTGATCTCCCTAACAATACAGAATCCATGTCTTCATAATTGATGGCTGGTTTCAAAAGCAGTCACTGCGTCCACCATGTATATGTTACCTATATGAATTAGTATTATTTAACTCTATCAACTTATATCATACAGCCTGTGAAGTGTTTTGCGTCCAACGAATAGTGTAGCATCACAAAGGTACATGTAACGTACACATGTTTGATGAAAAGGAGTAACATTATAAAGATTATGTAAGATGTAACAGCTATTGCGGAGATTGCTGACGGAGAATGATAAAGATTTATTTCTTAACACGTCATTGCAGGGGCTTAGCAGAATGCGTTTTCTACATCTCATAATATAATTCCATTATGCTCGGGTGAAGTGTATTGGTTAAGCGACTGACCTTATGGCTGTGAATACTAGGTAGGTTTAATTGTTCCTTTGAAAACAATAAAACTCCAAAATCAGCTGTTGATGACTACGTGAAGGCTGTGGTATTGTGTTCTCAGATACATCGATGTTCCTGTAGGTGTGGGATGGACTATTTAAATCGCCTTTGTCCAGAATAGAGCACTGCATACCTATACAAACCAATTGCAACTTCCCCACGGGTCTCTGCACAAAGTAACGACCAGTCATGTTGATGCACATGAATGCAATTTAAAACAATTTCGCCTGGCCAGTGACAGTCAAATATTCTTCAAAGTTAACATGAAGTTGTTTTTTTTTTATAAACTGCCGGACAAAAGAATGTATACACTTGGAAATTGGATTTGACCAATAAATTATATATCTAAATGTTACCAAATGTTACAAGCTGAAAACTGTCTCCGAAACACTGCAAACTTAAGGTCCAAACACTTCACCATCGAATAATCATTTATTGGGTGTTTCATTTTTAGCCACCTTCAAACATGGCTGTGTACTTTCTTTCCAATTACGTCACAATTTTCTCTTGGACACAGTCATCTTTAAGCATACTTTAAGCCATACGCACACCTGGAGTATTTCAGTACGGCGAAGTCACATGTGTGAATGGTGATTTTGAGCATAACAAATAAATATCAAGAAAACTTTTGACTCGTCAAAGATATACGATTGACATTGTTATGAGTGAAAACATAAATCATACATAATAAATCCTCTATAAATCAGAGAAAAATAAATTTTTCGACATTTGTCAATGTTTAAGTTGACACCTGTACCTTGATATAAAAAGGATGCTGTACTATCTCTTATATGTATAGTAAACACAAATTCCTGTGATATGTGATTCCCTGCTCTGTTAAATGTTTTGATTCAAATAGCTGTACAGGAGGTATAGCTTTATCCATGATCCGACTATGCTCGCGTAAGAGGCTACTAACAGGATCGGGTGGTCATGCTCGCTGACTTGGTTGATGCATGTCATCGTATCCCAATTGCGTGGATCGATGCTCATGATATCAATCACTGGACGTCAAGACACGATTATTTACAGACCGCCGTCATATAGTTGGAATATTGATGAGTGCGACGTTAAACAAGACATGACTTTTGTGTGTTTTGTTTTAAGCAGCATTTTATGACAAATAATCCATGTCTGGGAAAGAGAAACATTGGTTGCTATGATAAGCAAATACGTCGTTTATTTTACAAATATTCCTTTTACACAGAGACAAATAATCTGGAGTTATTTTTACACTTGTTGATGCTATTTCAACATGAAGAAATGTCCATACCTATGCCGGTGTCCCGCTAAAACCCTCCCCCGTACAAATTCTCCCCCCGGAGATTTTATACCGGTACAGTTTCTCCCCCGGAGAATTATGTCTGAAATAAAATCTCCCTCGGGTGGATTTACTTCGCGCCCCCCTCAATATAAGTGAGTCAGTGACTGAGTTAATATTTAAAGTCACATCGGCAATATTTCAGCCATATAGTGACTATATCAAATTATACAATACATCAATGTAGAATATAAATCTGTCGACAAAGGACAGGAAAAGTACTAGATTATCACAGATGTCGGTTTAAAACTAGTAAATGACCATAAAACTTCACAATTCATATAATACAATACAATACAATACAATGTAAAATTGGGCTATATATCACCAGCAACCGAAAGGGGACCCCCTCAATATAAAGTCTCCCCCCTGATTATTCGGTTTGTTGCAATGTCTTTAAGTACTATATTCTTTAGATAGTTATCTTTAATGTAAGGAGGGTTACTTTAAAAAATAGATTATGAAATATGGTCATAATGAATTGATATTTCAGCATATTTTATTTGGTAACTGTACCTTCCATCCTAAAATAATTATAAGACATAATCGTACCAAACAAAGGATGGAAGACAAGAGTCTCTACAGAGTTTGTTGTTTCTAATACAGTTGTTGTTGTCTGTATACAGTTTTTAATATACCAGTTTGAGTCTACATGTGAACGCAATCGATGGTTGAAATGTTAGTCTAAGAACAAAACATGAACTAATTCTCAAGAACTCTGATGTATAAAGTTACCTTCATCTTTGATTGACTGATGTATTTTCAATCTTTATTCAGCACTGAAGAGGCCACGGGCCTATGTTACGAAGCATTAAGTTTATGAATAATCAGCATTGATTTTGACTCCATAAACTGTCATAAAGTATTCATAAAGTATCAAGGGTCATTTCAACTTGCAAAATGATTGACATAGTCCTCTATAGAGCGAGGATTGGTCTGTTTTCCCACCTGATTGTGTGTGTGTGTGTGTGAGTTGGGTTTAACGCCGCTTTTAACATTATTCCAGTTATATCACGGCGTGTCAGCTTAATGTGGGAGGAAAGCCCGAAGTGATGCAGGTCTCAGACGTTTACCACTTCGGTGAAACCCACGAGCACGGGTATGGTGCTGACAAACCTAGAAACATAATTTGGGCGAACCGGGATTCGAACCCACAATCATAGGTTTCTGGCGTGTCCAGGGGACGCAACTCTGCACAGCGAATCGCGGCGCCTTAGACGACTAGGCCATCCGTGCCCCCTCCCACCTGATTGACTGATATAACAACATTCGCATGGATTAGAATGGTACAATGAATGGTAAAGCATGCATTACATTAATACGCGATATTTCATAAGACAATATCATATCTAATAAACATAAAACCAATATTTATGAGTCTACATATTGATATAAGAATTTATCACTGTATCCAATTCCAAAATTTTAGATATAAACTTTCGGACAGTTTGGTTAAAAAATCTTCAACCTTTAATACATCACAGGATTTGTAGCTAGATGACAGGAATCTACATTCTTGACTGTGTGTTTTCTTTGATGAGAATGTTTCTCACCGACCTTAGCGTGTAGGGGTGTGATGTCCTTATCAGGAAATGACAGTGTTTTGACTACTCGTCTTTCATTAATTAACGTGTTGGGCATCCCTAATTAACCTTTACTAATTCATGTTAAAACAACACAGGATGTTTTCTGGAAGTGGACAATCGCGAATGTCATAGGGCTGACACGACTCGTGTTAATAACTGTCCCAGAACTTCTTAAGTTACTAAACATTCTTTATATCTAACGACTAGTAACATATCTACCTATTTACCACTTTATTGTATCATATTGCGGTAGTTAAAAGAAAACACAGTGCTCAAAGTAAAGCCCCTTTCACTCCACATTCTCAACATCGTCTCTATCAGAAGTGTTTGGCAACTATTGAACTGCATGGCAAGTATTTATGAAACGATCGGGGGAGCAGCCAGAACAAAAGTAAGACAACTCATAGACGATTCTAAAAAAGAGTCATGGCAGACCTTCTGCAAATCCCTCAATGAGAAAACAAATGCAAAAACAGTCTGGAGCAAAATACACGCAATCAGGAGTAAACGTAAACCCACAAAAATTCCCAAGTTAGTCAAAGAAGAAGGCCAACATTCTAGCTGAGCACTTCTCATCTGTCAGCAGCAACACAAATTGCAGCGAAGAATTCAAACAGGAAAAAATGCTTATGCTTAAGATCTCAAAACGGCCGCAAGCAAGCATCTGGTATAAAATATGCCATTTACAGTGACAGAGTTTGATGATGCGATACAACATAGAAAAGGCACAGCACCTGGTCTTGACACAACCAGCTACGAGATATTGAAAAACCTACCAGATCAAACCAAAGGCTTACTCACTGAGTTGTATAACACGATATGGTCCAAAGGAGAAGTCCCAAAAGCATGGAAACATGCTGCAGTTATCCCGCTGCTAAAGCAAGGGAAAGACGAAGCCCTACCAAACTCTTATCGACCGATCTCACTCACCTCAAACACGTGCAAAGCCATAGAAGCCATGGTTACGAAAAGGCTCATGCATCACCTTGAAACTGGCAACCACATAAAACCTGACCAAAGTGGCTTTAGGAAGGGACACTCGTGTCTAGATAATATTCTAAGACTGGAAAATGAAATAAAAAAAGCGCAATTAAACAGACAATACCTAGCCGCAGTATTTCTGGACTTCAGCAAAGCCTTCGACATGATATGGCATGACGGACTCCTCTCAAAACTAGCACAAAATGGAGTAGAAGGGAACATGGCAAACTTCATAGACAGCTTCCTGCAAGACAGGTCGCTATCAATTAAAATAGGGAACAATCCATCTGATCCTGTGGCACTGGACAATGGCACGCCACAAGGCAGCATTATAAGCCCAACCCTGTTCAATATCATGATCAACGATCTTTTTGACCATGTCAACTCTCCTACCCAAACTTCTAAATTCGCTGATGACGGAGCAATATGGGTAAAGCACAGAGATATTTCACAAATAAGAAAAAAACTCCAGTCAGCCCTGGACGGAGTAGATCAATGGTGCAATAAATGGGGATTCACCCTTTCAAGTGAAAAAACTGTTGGAGTTCTATTCAAACGGGCACTCGTGAAGAGCAACCTCCTCGTGGTGAGTGCTGGGTAGCGCTAATAGCTCTTCCCACGTGTGGAACCGGGGTAGAATATTTCCACAGCACCCCATTGCTGGTCGTAAGAGGCGACCAAAGTGGGCAGCCCGTTTGCCGTGGGTTGCGTCCCTGTGTCGGCGGAGGACGGGAGTCTGGTAGTTGAGGGCACTGGTTCCTGGAACTGTGTTCCTTTGCCCAACACACTACTTCGACCCTTACTTCGCCTAGACGGGTGGTAAGATGGGCCCGGTCTTATCAATCGGCTGGTCATGCCAGGCCCTGTGCGTAATATTGTATATGCACACCTGTGTTGTATTTTTATGTATATTTTGGTCTTGGCCGTACATAACTTCTGTTTGTCAATCTTAGCTACCTATGTTTATATTGCTTGAGTATAACACCCTTGTAACCCCGGTATTGTAGATAGGTTTCCTCTACAGCATCGTCCTTGTTGACACTCCGTGGCGGGTGGGGAGCAGAGGTGTCGAATCAAATTCTCCCATCATGTCTCACAACAAATCTCCTGGTTCGTTTAAAGCAAACAAACGTCGACACGTCGATTCTGTTTCGTCTGACGACGATGTGTCACCTATCGTTGCTGATTCTTGGCCACGATTCATCGTTATAGCATCTGCAGATGATACTCCTCTGAAGCTGAATCCATTTGCCATATCAAAGGGCATCCAAAGTGCTTGTGGCGAAGTAAAGAACGTTACTCGTCTTCGTTCTGGTTCCATCCTCGTGGAATGTGCACGGAGACAGCAATCTATCAATTTGTTGGGTCTCAAACAATTTGTTAACATCCGAGTTGCTGTCTCAGTGCACAACACACTGAACTCTAGTCGAGGTATCATAAGAGATCGTTCGCGTTGTTTGTCAGAAATGTCTGAAGAAGAGATTGTTACTGAACTAGAACATCAAGGTGTCACCGCTGTTAAGCGGTTCACACGAAAATCAGAAGATGGCAAAATAATTAATACACAAACATATCTCTTCACTTTTTCAATGTCTACTGTTCCAAAATCAATTAAAGCTGGATACTTCAACATCGGAGTGGAGGTTTATGTTCCAAATCCACTCTGGTGTTTCAAGTGTCAACACTTTGGTCACGGAGCCAAATCTTGCACTGCTAAGACAAGGTGTCTCCGTTGCGGTGGTCCTCATGATGGTACAGATTGCACAAATGTGCTCAAGTGTGCCAACTGCAGCGGGGAGCATTTGTCTTCGTCTAAATCCTGCCCAATTTTCGTTCGTGAATCTCAGATATTAAAACTCAAGCATACAAACAATATTTCATATTCTGATGCCAAAAAGCTACTTCTACCATCTCAGACACCTTCCAGTATTTCATATTCGGCAGCAGTGTCTTCAGCCACAGTCACTTCTCTGTCTTCAGGTTCCAAAATGACTAAATCAATCCACTGTCAAACTGCGATCTCTTGGATCAATGATGACCAGATCATCATTGATGAAGCTAAGCCAAGTAAACCCACAACACTGTCATCTTCATCTCAGACCGAGAATCTGCAAACATTAACCAGTCAACAAATTGAACCAGACATCACAGAAGAAATTGAAACAGTTCAGGGTGAAGCCCATCTATCAAAAAAGCAAACAAAAAAGCAAATGAGGAGAAAGGCCAGGGCACTCCAGCACTTGGAGGAGCCTTCTCCTGTTGCGTGCCCTGTTGTGGTTCATAATCCTTTTGAACCATTGGACATGGAGGTTACTCCAACCCTCCCAGGACATGGGAATGTCCCCTCCACTCGCTTACGTACCCCCGTTGAACCTCCATGAGCGGAGCTTCAAATTTAATACAATGGAATTGCAGAGGACTTAGGAACAATTTTAATGATCTCCAGTTATTATCACAAGATTTTTAAACCATCAGCGTTTAGTTTACAAGAAAGATACCTGAAAGATACAGATAACTTTGATTTTCGTCAGTACAAATCATATCATTCGTTTTCTCCTGCAGGTGCCAAAGCTACAGGTGGCGCTTCTATTTTGGTGAGGCAGGATGTCATCCATAGCCCTGTCCCTCTCAAAGGCAACCTTCAAGCTGTTGCTGTCCGTCTTTCTTTACATATCACCTTCACACTTTGCTCTTTATACATTTCACCCTCGTCTCCTCATCTGCAGTCTGATCTTCAGGATTTGTTTGATCAGCTCCCAAGACCCTGCGTCATTATGGGTGACCTGAATGGGCATAACCCTCTTTGGGGAAGTACAGATACCAACAACAAAGGTAAAATCCTGGAAGACTTCATTTCAAATAATAGTTTATGCATATTTAATGATGGATCAGACACATATTTGCATCCCGCTACTGGAACTTATTCTGCTCTTGATTTGTCACTCACAGATCCAAATGTATATAGCGAATTTGAATGGTCAGTCCACAACGATCTATGTGGAAGCTACCATTTCCCCACAATACTTTCTGCTATTAACCCGAATGATGATCCACCTGTTACAAGGTGGAATTTTAACAAGGCCAACTGGCCATTATTTCAGACACTTTGTACTGACAAATTGACACCTGACATTTTCATCACTGTCCCTGATCCTATTCAGTTGTTCACGGATAAACTGATTAATATTGCTGATGAAACTATTCCTAAGTCCTCTGTTAAACCACACATTCGTAAACCATGGTTTACTGTTGAATGCAAACATGCTAGGAAGAGTAGGAGGAAGGCTGAAAAATACTTTCGCCGTCATCCTACAGTTCACAATTTAAATAAAGTGAAGATAAATGGTGCCAAGGCTCGACGTACGTTTAAACAAAATCGGCGACAGTCTTGGCAAAACTTTGTATCAAAGATTAATTCCCGAACGCCTATGACAAAGGTGTGGAACATGATACAAAGAATCAAAGGGAAAGGCTCAAATTCTGGTGTTCATCATCTTAAAGATGACCATGGTCTATTAACTGACAAAGTTGATATCGCAAATAAGTTGGGTGAAACTTTAGCTAAACATTCTTCATCATCCAATTATAATCCCAATTTTCAGAAATATAAAAATCAACAAGAAAAGAAAACTATTAACTTTATTTCGGATAATGGTGAAGACTACAACGAAGTATTTTCACTACATGAGCTCAATACTGCCCTAGCGCAAGCTCATGATACCGCAACAGGGCCTGATAATATACATTATCAGCTCCTTAAACATTTACCCAATTCCTGTCTCGAAACGCTTTTAAATATTTTTGATAATATTTGGACATCAGGACTCTTTCCTCCTTCGTGGCACAATGCCATCGTTATCCCTATACCAAAACCTGGCCGGGATCATACCGATCCATCTAACTATCAACCTATTTCGTTAACTAGCTGCGTTTGTAAAACCATGGAACGCATGGTCAATAATCGACTAGTTTGGTTCTTAGAAACCAATGATCTTCTTTCAAATATTCAATGTGGTTTCCGAAAAAATCGCAGTACTATTGACCATCTGGTTCGTTTAGAATCATTCATGAAAAATTCCATTGTAAATAACCAGCATGCTGTATCAATCTTTTTCGATCTTGAAAAAGCTTATGATACAACATGGAAACATGGTATTTTAACAGATTTACATGACTTTGGTTTAAGAGGCCGTTTGCCTAATTTTATATCGCAGTTTTTAACTGACAGACAATTTCAAGTTCGTGTTGGATCAACCCTGTCTGATCATTATAATCAGGATCAGGGAGTTCCACAGGGCAGTATTTTGTCTGTCACATTGTTCAGTATAAAAATAAATAGTTTATCAAAAGTATTAAATGACTCAATTGATGGGTCATTGTTTGTGGATGATTTCAATATATCATGTCGTGGTAAAAATATGCGTACTATTGAACGCCAATTACAGTTGTGTCTTAATAAAATTCATAAATGGTGTCTTGAGAATGGCTTTAAGTTCTCACAGACGAAGACCAATTGTATACATTTCTGTCGGAAATATAAACCCCATAAAGACCCTGAACTCTTTTTAGATGGCACTCCAATCAAGATTGTAAAAGAAGCCAAATTTTTAGGATTAATTTTCGACCATCATTTAACCTTTTTGCCACATATTACTTATCTGAAGACAAAATGCCTGAAGGCCCTAGATTTGTTAAAAGTCGTTTCAAATTCAAAGTGGGGAGGGGATCAGAAAACCCTTCTTCACTTATATCGATCATTGATCCGTTCTAAATTGGACTATGGCTCCATTGTGTATGCTGGAGCTTGCAAGAGCAATTTAAAAAAGCTGGATTCAATTCACCATCAAGGACTATGTCTATGTCTTGGTGCTTTTCGAACTTCTCCGGTTGACAGCCTCTATGTGGAGGCTGATGAACCTTCTTTAAAACAACGCCGTACTAAATTGTCTCTTCAATATATTTCTAAATTACGTTCGAACCCCTCTAATCCTGCTTATGCCTCTGTATTCTACCCCCTCTATGAAAATCTATTTCTGAAGAAACCGAAGCTGGTTCCTCCACTTGGGATTCGGCTCAAATCCAATATTACTGCTGCAAATCTTGATCTGGATCTTATCTCTCCTTCTCGGCTTTTGTCTACTCCTCCCTGGCAGTTGGTGAGGCCAGAAGTAGACATTTCACTGACACGCTTTCTCAAGTCTGAAACAAATCAACTGGTTTATCATCAGGAATATTTACAATTAAGAAACAAATATGACACTCACCGTTCAATCTTTACTGATGGATCCAAGGGTGGTGGCAAAGTAGCAAGTGCCACTGTCGTTGGATCACAAACCATATCATTTAGAATACCTGACAATAGCTCTATTTTCACTGCTGAGGCCAATGCTATCCTTACAGCTTTGATATATATTAAACACCAGTCTTCATGTAAACAGTTTATCATCTTTTCTGATTCTCTTTCTTGCCTTCAGGCACTGCATAATGTATCTTCCACTCATCCACTGATTTTAGATGTTTTAGAACTTTACAATGATCTTTCAACTGGCCAATACGACATCGTCTTTTGTTGGTTACCGAGTCATATGGGCATCACAGGTAACACAATGGCTGATGCTGCTGCTAAAGCAGCACTCAACGAATCTGTGACACCACTTCTGCTTCCATACAGCGATTATAAACCTGTAATAAGAAACTACATCAGAGATATAATGCAGCAGAAGTGGGACACCCAAGTAGGTATTAATAAATTACATGCTATAAAACCAACCATCGGTTACACCTACTTGGGTTGTCAGTCCAGATTTGAAGAGGTCATTGTACGACGATGTCGTATTGGCCACTCGCGATACACACATGAATATTTGTTAAAAGGTGAAGATCCTCCGTTCTGTATCCCTTGTGATGAGAGAATCACGGTCAAGCATGTCCTGCTTGACTGTATTGATTTTTCCATCACAAGGGTTAAGTATTTCAAAGTTTCATCGTTAAAGGATCTTTTTAATCAGATTAATTCTCATTTAATTCTTGGTTTTTTAAAAGAAATAGAATTGCTTGATAAATTTTGATATGTACATGTATTGTAAAAAGTATGTGATTTTAATTTGGTAGAATGACGTAATAACTGAGTTTGTTAGTGGCTGTACCTTCAAAGGGGGTTGAAGTAACGTAAAATAATTGTCCCCCTGAGAAGGTATGTAAGTCCCATTTCATTCAAAGTATTTTTCATTTTCCATGTTTTTAATCGTAGAATTCTTGTTGTTTTTAAATGTTTTGGCTTAAACTTGCCGACAATCACCAGTAACCGGAGGGATGGTGTAAATCCTCCTGGGTTACCATGTAGGTAGCAGAAGTATCGTAAGTCCCCATGGTACCTAGTATGGTGACCTACCTTTGGCTATTGGTGATCTAAAGCCCATTTTTATTGTGTACTGTTTTGAATTGTTATGAATTTTATTCTGATATGCTAGTTTTACAATCTACATCTGTGATAGTCTAGTGTTTTTACTGTCCTTTGTCGACAGATTTTATTGTCACTATGTATTAATATATAACTTGATTTAGTCACGTTATGGCTGAAATATTGCCCATGTGACTTAAAACTTAACTCACTCACTCACTCACTCCTTCGTGGCACAATGCCATCGTTATCCCTATACCAAAACCTGGCCGGGATCATACCGATCCATCTAACTATCAACCTATTTCGTTAACTAGCTGCGTTTGTAAAACCATGGAACGCATGGTCAATAATCGACTAGTTTGGTTCTTAGAAACCAATGATCTTCTTTCAAATATTCAATGTGGTTTCCGAAAAAATCGCAGTACTATTGACCATCTGGTTCGTTTAGAATCATTCATGAAAAATTCCATTGTAAATAACCAGCATGCTGTATCAATCTTTTTCGATCTTGAAAAAGCTTATGATACAACATGGAAACATGGTATTTTAACAGATTTACATGACTTTGGTTTAAGAGGCCGTTTGCCTAATTTTATATCGCAGTTTTTAACTGACAGACAATTTCAAGTTCGTGTTGGATCAACCCTGTCTGATCATTATAATCAGGATCAGGGAGTTCCACAGGGCAGTATTTTGTCTGTCACATTGTTCAGTATAAAAATAAATAGTTTATCAAAAGTATTAAATGACTCAATTGATGGGTCATTGTTTGTGGATGATTTCAATATATCATGTCGTGGTAAAAATATGCGTACTATTGAACGCCAATTACAGTTGTGTCTTAATAAAATTCATAAATGGTGTCTTGAGAATGGCTTTAAGTTCTCACAGACGAAGACCAATTGTATACATTTCTGTCGGAAATATAAACCCCATAAAGACCCTGAACTCTTTTTAGATGGCACTCCAATCAAGATT